TTGCTTATGGAGCGTTCAGAGTTGGCGATCGCACGCGATCAGAAGATTGGGCGATTAGGCGATTAGGCGATTAGTCTATAATGAAAAATGTACGTATAGATTAGGCGATTAGGCGGGGAGCACCACATACGTATTGATTGGTTTGCTCCGCCCATAGAACGTTGTAGGCGAGTAGGCGATTAGGCGATTAGGCGATCGCTCATGGGCGGAGCATCAAATCAATGTCATCACTTAATCGCCTAATCGCCTAATCGCACGTACGATCGCCAACTATGAACGCTCCATTAGCATTTCGACCCACGCTAATATGCAATTAGGCGAATGGGGAAAAGATACCTACCGATTAGACGAAGAGGCGAATTGCAAAAACGCTTAGCGACAAAGCAGGCCGGATCGATAAGTATCCGCATAAATATTGTATACTGTATGTGAATGGGTGCGTTACGCAGGTGGTCGCGGTTGGTCCGGTACCGCCTTGACCGTCACCTTCAGGTCAATCTCTACCCTCTCAACCGTCCTATTCCGCGTCGTTCCACATCATCTCCACATCTTCTCCACGTCGCTCGGATACCTCAACCAGTCTCGCTGGAAGAAGCCGCGTCAACCAGTCGCCCCGGAGCAGTCGCCTCACCAGTGCCGGACCGATCGCCTCAACCTGTGGATCGCCTCGACCTGCGGTCAACCAGTCGTCCTGCTGTCGCCGCTATAGCCGATACGGACCACACCACCATATAGTTGGTTTTCCTTGTTAATAAACTCTTTTTCAAGTGTCCAGTCGTGTAGCAAGAGGGGTAGTCCGTAGGTTCCTAACACTCGGAAGACCACATCCTACCGTTCAACCTCTTGCAGATTTTTACTCCCTGTAGAAATCTAGAAGCTTAAAGCTTTTCAACGAATGCTCACTTACTTACTGTATGCTCACTGAAATCATTTTAAATTGATCCGATCAAAAAACAGCTTGATTGCTCTCATCTTTCTCTATTAGTTTTTGGGGCTATTCTCCTGAAAACGCTAAACTTCTCATATTGAATTGATTACTACACGAATTCAATGCTGCAAAAGGATGAACACCTAGACAAATGAAAAAAAAATGAAAGACACTCTCACAGCGCATCCTGTGACTGCGCGGGACTGACGCTAGGGAGAATAAGAGGACGTTCCATGGCATTATAAAAAGTGGCCCAGAAATACTAAAAACCACCATGAACGAAGGACAACCCTCCGCTGGCCAAAGTCCAACGAGGGGGAGTTGGGGGAGTTATACGAAAGGGGTGGGTGTCGTATGGACATAGGTCAACGTTACAAAGAGTGGGGTTTATGGGTGTTGGTGCGTAGAACATTGTCAACGCTCTGAAGAACCTACATCTGTGAAATAACGTCGCTGGCTCACACCAGAGGGGAACATGAAATGCTGAACAAATGTAATTGAAGCTCACAGCTCTGGGCTTGGGCTTGCTTCATATGTCGATCAGAATTCAAATGGTTTCCTGTTACGACAGCAGGTGAGGGGCATAACTTTCGAGCGTTCCTTTAATTCTTAACCCGAAGTGCATGGCGCATTCCAAAGCCGAATTAGTTGCGGTAAACCTACACATTTGATTATCAGAGCAACAAATATTGCTTTACAGGAAAAGGTGTTTCAAAACTAATCTGTGTGAGAGAAATAACGATAACTTGAGTGAAATGATTCTTGAAGGCTTAGAAGAATATGTATTCCAGGGGAGTGAAGACTTGTTTCCTGCTGCCAGGATGAACAGCATCTGTTATGAAGCACCGAGCTTGCCATCTGAATAGGTGTTCATCTTTTTACAGCATCGAATTCGAATAGTAACCAATTCAAAGTGAAATTTTTAGCATTTTAAGTGGGGTACTCCAAGAGCTCCAAGAGCTAATTGAAAAAAGACCAACCGAGCTATTTTTCGATCGGATCAATTCTGAAATGATTTCAAGTATTCGTTAAAAAGCTCTCAGCTTCTGGATTTCTGCAGGGAGAAAATGCAAGTTAATGAGCTTGACGAAGGTAATGGCAGTTTAAAGCCAAAAAGCTTGCATGTGCACAAAAAACAGACCAACCAGACGACTTTTCGGAGAAATGAACACATGAACACTTACAAAAGCTTGAGTACCTTTTTAGAGAAGAAACAATTGGAGTTTCTAGTTCTCTTACCTACCTTCCCTTACCCCTCTTTCTTGTCACTTTTTCATACTAGAAATCACTATTACTAGAAATTTGCACATCCAATGACAGCTACGGGGACAAAAATCTAACATCAGCACACAGCCGACGGGCTACCGTAACCGTGGGGCCATCAAATAACATTCTGCACGCCGCGACCACATACTTCACATGAGCTTGACGTCGCTACTTCGAATTTCGTAGTAGGCAACACCGAATTTCTTCTGTTATGTCGAGATTGGTTTTTAGAGGGCCATTCCTATATTCTTCCTAATGTTGTGGGTTCGTTGTTCCACGAGGCCCATCTGCTAAAATATTCGTTCTGCCATTTAGAAAATGAACATGGTAGAGATTTTGTAAAAGTAGCGCATGTCACGAATAGTGATGTAATCCGAGCAGGATCTATCCTTTTTCTGCGCTCATCTAATCGGTTTTTTTTTCATAAACATCCAGAAAAAAGGCCGTGTTCGCAAGGTACGGGTTTACCTCTCATCTTTGATCCGCGCTCTTCCTTAGAGCCAAAGTGAGCTCAACCTCAGCGATTGTTGACATTTTCTGTTTTGTTTGAGGTTTA